CTCATTGTGTTTTGTAGGTTTCCTTCAGCTTTTGGTTGGCAGCTTTCTTGTGGTGTAATGGGTAAACTAGCTGTAATTAGTTTGATGTGTGTTATTTTGCACATCAACCCACCATGGCTAAGTTGGATCGATGCACCAAGGCAGATTTGTTGTTGGTGGCAAATTTTTTAATGTTGGTGTCCTCTTGAATCCAAAAAAGGCAGAAGTTAAGCAGTGTCTGGCAGAGCAGATGGTGGAAAAAGGGGTAATTGCGAAGGTGAAACTTCGACCGGTTGATGCGTCTGGAGGTTTGGTGGTGGATGGAGGCTCCTGCTGCCGTTCAAGTCCCAAACATTATCCTGGCCAGACAATTACCAGAATTGATTACGGATGATCTTAACCTTGCCCTTTGCCTGAAAGAGGTGGAGCTTTAGGCTAAAGCCAAAGAAGTTGAGCTACTGCATCTCCAAATAAGGCCTATGGAGCAATGTTACCTCTACCCCATTGAGTAAAAATGTGAGTAAAACTTCTGACTGATTCTCCTCTGACCAGTTTGATGCAAGAAAGCAAATTGCCTTTGTGCCACCTTTCAGAGAAAGTAAGGTTGACTCTTACTTTAATGCCTTTGAACGCATCGCAACCACTTTAAAATGGCCCAAGGACGTGTGGAGTTTGTTGTTGCAGTGCAAATTGGTGGGGAAAGCACAAGAAGTGTGCACGAGCTTATCCATTGATCACAGTCGGGATTATGAAATTGTGAAATCCATTATTTTAGTGTTTTCTGGGTTAGTTCATGAGGCATGTTGCCAAATGTTTCGGTCCTGCGAAAAATCTGCCAACCAAACACATGTAGATACTGTAAGTTTGATAAGTAGTTAGGTGCAAGTAAAGTGAAGGATTTTACTTAGCTAAGACAATTGGTTCTGTTGGAAGAATTCAAAACGTGTCTTCCAAAAAATGTTGTTATGTACCTCAATGAGCAAAAGGTGGATTCAGCTGCTGTTCTCGCAGATGAGTTTCTGTTGACCCATTGCGCTACATTTTCAGCTGTGTGAATATACTCCGTTGTCTGCGCCTGCGAGGAGCTTAAGGGTTTCTCCTGCACATCAAACACACCCTGATCCAGTTCCCATGAACGTTCGTGAATGCTTTTATTGCCATGACACCAGCCATGTCATTGCTAATTGTCTATCACTTCGTCCCTAAGAGCAAACTCAAACCTGGAGAAAACCAAAGAGTGTTGGTTTTCTCCAGGTTTGAGTCGGTTGGTCTCTATGCCTAATCCCGTCGGATCCTCCGGACCTTTCTTTTCAAAAGCGTTCGCCTCACCTACTGGAAAAGAGGAGGATCGTGTGCTGATTGTGATTTTGTGTGACACTGGGGCTACCAAGTCTCTCATTTTGGATAGCGCTTTGCCTTTTTCTAGTAACTCGTTTTGTGGTGCTGATGCTCTCGTGTGGGGAGTGGATATGTATGTGTGTGTCACGGGCTCCGCTACACAGCGTTTTCCTACAGTCACCTCTCGTTTCGGGCTTGGTAGCAATTGGGGTGCGCCCTCGCTTGCACGTACAGGCAGTTACTATTATTCTGGGGAATGATCTAGCAAATGGAAAGATTTTCCCAATCTCCGAGGTAATTGAAAACCCCATCGATGATTTGGTTTTTGTTTCTGAATCTGCTGCTGACAGTCTGCCCTCTGTTTTCCCTGCCTGTGTCGTCACATGTGTGTATAAGTGCAGATACAGTGATGTTGATTTGTCTGACTCTTTCCTGTGTTCTGAAGATGATCCTGTGAAAGCTGAGCCACCTGTGGAAAAAGAAGAAAAATGTGTGTCTGATAGCCTGCTACCTGCTACACCTGACCTGTCTATTGAGGCAAGTAAAGCAGATTTTGTCCATGTGCAACAGAATGATCCAACTCTGGCCAAATGTTTACTTGCTGTAAATTCCAACGAGCAAACCCCCATGTTTACAGCATTGGCAACAACATGTTAATGCGTAAATGGCACCCTCCCTCATCAAGTGATCTTGGGTGGAATGTATTTCAACAGGTAGTTGTATCACAAAGGTTCCGACCCCAAGTAATCAGTCTTGCACATGACAGGTCCTGTACCCCTAGACTGGGGCACAGCACACCTACAGTGTCTCCAAAAAGTTGATTCTGTCCAGATTGGACAAGCTTAAAAACACACCAAGTAATCCACCTACAATGTGTTTGTTGACATCTTGGATCCCACTAATGGAGGCAGTTTCAGTTTAGTCCATGACTGCATTTCACTCACTGCCTCTGTTTGTATCTCTGTCACTGCAGGACCAACATGGAGCGAGAAGTCAGCGCTCTCAGGAGGCCGACAAACCTCACAGAAGAAAGGGAGAGAAAAAATACAGCTGTGATGAGTGTGGGAAGAATTTTACCCATCTTGGAAACTTTAAAGCACACCAACTCGTCCACAGTGGAGATAAACCGTACAGATGTGACTTGTGTGGGAAGAATTTTACCCAGAAAGGACACCTAAAATCACACCAAGTCATTCACAGTGGAGTTAAACCATACAGCTGTGAGTTGTGTGGAAAGTCTTATACCCATCCTGGAAGGTTAAAAACACACAAACTCATCCACAGTGAAGAGAAAGCGTACAGCTGTGAGTTGTGTGGTAAAGCTTTTACTTGCAGTGGTAACTTACAGCGTCATCAAGTTGCTCACTTTGGAATTAAGGCGTACAACTGTGATCAGTGTGGAAAAACTTTTGCTTGTAGTGGCCGCTTACAACGTCATCAATTTACCCACTCTGGAATCAAGGCGTACAACTGTGATCAGTGTGGAAAAACTTTTTCTTGCAGTAGCCACTTACAACGTCATCAAGTTACTCACTCTGGATTTAAAGCATACAGCTGCGACTTGTGTGGAAAGTCTTTTAATGATCCTGGAAACTTGAAAAAACACCAACTCATCCACAGTGGAGTTAAATCGTACATGTGTGAGTTGTGTGGAAAGTCTTTTACCCAGGCTGGAAACTTAAAAAGACACCAAGTCATCCACAGTGGAGTTAAACCATACAGCTGTGAGTTGTGTGGTAAAGCTTTTAGTTGCAGTAGCACCTTAAGACATCATCAAGTTACTCACTCTGGAATCAAGGCGTACAGCTGTGATCAGTGTGGTAAAGCTTTTGCTTTCAGTAGCACCTTACGACATCATCAAGTTACTCACTCTGGAATTAAGGCGTACAGCTGTGGCATTTGTGGAAAAACTTTCAGGACCCTAGGTTACCGCAATATTCACGTACGGATTCACACCAGACATGATGTTTACTCCTGTGATCTGTGTGGCAAACTGTTTACAACATATCCACACTTGCAACGCCACAAACTTACCCACACTGAGGAGAGACCTTATAAATGTGACCTGTGTGAAAAGGCTTTTAAAGAGCCACGTTTCCTGAGATTTCACCGTCAGATCCACACCAGAAAGAGACTATAAGTGCAGTTACTGTGAGGTATGTATTTGTATTTGTACTGTTGCCGCTATTTTGAAGTATTACGTGAATGAAGTTTAACCCTCTCAAGGCAGCCGTTGCCGATTTGCAACAGTTAAAAACTAACAACCTGATTACCCCACATACATATTTTATGAGTTTTTTTTACTCAGAAGTACCACTGCAGGACTTGGTTGTGCATTAGCAACAAAAAGTTTAATTTGAGCCTGAGAGGGTTAATTTCAAAGCTAAATTAGACATGAAAACTTTATGGACAGAATATTGAGTCAAATCGGATACAAATCTCCTGAAACTTGTTGGAAAAAGTAAAGTTTTAAAAGCTCCTCCCCTTTCTCTCTGTCTGACATTCACAATCCAATGGATGCATCGGAGAGCAGCTTGGGGTCAGTATCTTGTGGCATGCAGAGTAGAACATCCAGGGGTTTAACCACCAATCTTCCCATTAAGTAGATTACCTAGAAATGAAGAGTCATTTTCGCCCAGTAAGCTGAGCATTATAATGTAAACAGTAAAATGTGGATGTTTGCAGAGATGCTCTTTATTTCAGGCAATATTCGGGATAAAAATGTTGAAGGAATTGCCTGACCTTCACTGTCTGTGTGTCTTTGTTTAGAAGCAGAGCGACACAGATGGATCCAGTTCTCCACCCTGTCGTCACTGTGGTGGTGGGAAAGTGTTTCAGTCAGCAATGGAGTGTAAAACGACATCAACGTAGACAGACTGGTGACAAAATGAGCTACTGCAAAGAATGTGGGAAAAGCTTCCCCACATCAAGTGAATTAAAAAGACATGAATTCTGTCACAGTGGGGTTAAAAAGCAGCTTCAAGAATCTCAGTTCATACTCCAAACATGAACGATCCCACGCTGTAAATAGTTTTACTCTTACTAATGTGCAAAAACATTCACTTCATTTTCTGCTCTGTGCAAACATCAGCGTGATCATGCAGGACTGAAATCACTGGATCACAATGGATCTGAAGAGACAGTGAATAATCCTGGATGTTAAATTTATGAATCTGCAAGTATAGATATCTACGCCAAGATTTTTTCCTTTTCTTACAACCACTGATCAATGGCCATGAGTACCATTCGCAGAGAATAGGGATATACGTGAAAATGGAACGACCATCTCTGAATCGAGGAGGGGACCTAAGGGTACATCTTTCACCATCTTACAACGCTGTGATTGCAGCCATTCCCCAACTCTCTGTGAATGGTACTCATGGCCATTGATCAGTGGGTTTTGGTCAGTGGTTGTTGATCAATGGTCATGAGAATTTGCATAATTAAGATTAAGGAACTGACCTCCCAGCCCATTTTTCCTTCAGTGGGCTGGTTTCAGTCATTATTTAAATGTACTGTTTATAAGGTTGGGGAAACCTGCAGTCAGCTGAGACTGAAGACGTCACTTGGATGAGTGACGAAACGTTTCTCCCACAAAATGCTACGTCCAGATGAACAGAATCAGCTTTTGGAGATTTACTTTCCTGGATGATTGAGCGTGCATCAAGACGTTAGTAGAATTTAGTACTTTAATTTTTATGTAGCAATGGTATCTGTTATACAGAACTGATACTGCAGCAGTCCTCGCCCGTAAGTTTAATACATATTTAAAGATTTAATTTGTGCAGTATTTGCTTTTTTTGATAACTAGCCAGGGGCGGATCTAGAAGGGTGGCATGGGGTGGCAAGTGCCACCCTAAAATGATCCCTTGCCACCCCAAGTGCTACCCCGGCTTTGCATATGACAGTGTTGTTTATTAAAATAAGATAGCATTAACACTTTAAGCGTAATTACTGTCAACAGTGAATATAAATGCTAAAACTGAATATATTGGATCGTGTTCCCCCCCTTCACCAGTAACAAATGGTTCAGCCCACAGCAGGACCGGCTTTTTTCTTGTTTTCAGTAGCCAGCGATGCTTATGATTTTGTCGGAGCACAGTTTGAATAACACCATGGGAATTTCAGATTTCACACAGGTGGTCGGTTGTTACACTCTGGAAATGGAAGCAAGGTGAGTGTTATTAACCCTCTGTGGTCCACGGACACGCTGCACCTCCAAATCACATGACTGATGTAAGCTGACACAGCAACAAGCTGCAGCCACGCTGACTCTCTATTTCAGCCCACATTGAAAGTTCGGACTTCAAAGTTTTTAAATTTTAATTACAGGCCAGTAAATCCAGAGTTATGATAATATATATCAGCCACGCTTTTTTTCTAAACACTGTCGTCACATTTTTATGTGTGTGTTTTTTAAGCGTTTTCTAAAGACTGCGCGAAAACAGTAAAGAAAGGGGGAAAAAAAGCCACCTGTTTCCTATCGGGGGGAAAAATGTACCATGTCGACCAATTTAAAAAAAAAAAGGCAACACGTAGGATTTGGTTGTTTAGGAAGAGGGAGAGTTAGGGGAGCAATGGCAGCGAGACAGAGCGAGAGAGAGAGGGTTTTTAGATGTGGGAGATTTGTGACGTTTAGTGTGGAGTGTATAGTTAGTGTGTTGTGTTGTCTTGTGTAGTTAGTTTGTTGTGTAGTCGTCTTGTTTTGTGTGTCAGTGAGGGCACTAATGAATGTCACAAAGGCACATTTGCAATGTAAACACTGTCACTAAGGAGAAAACCAGCGGAGTGATACACCTCCTGTTGTCAGGCCTGCAGGTTTGTCCCTGTGCTGTTCTCCTGTCTCTTGGTGGAAAAACTTTTTTTTTTTTAACTGGCACACATCATTTGTGGGGCATCTTAGTGCAACACCTGATTGTTCTCTCATTTTAGTTTTAGTAATACTTTTAAATGGTTGTACAAAATGAAAAAAAACAAACAAAAAAACAGCAGGTGTATTGGCTGCATTTTTAGATAGATAGTTGTATATGTTTACAAAATGTACAATTTATATTTGCATTTCAAGTTATGAAAATTTACTCAACATGTCTGTTTTGTTTGTTTTTTTGTTTGTTTTTTTTTACAGTAAAAAATACTACTAGGATTTTAAGTTCTTTGTGTGATTTCAGATCACTAATACTATTGCAGTATGTCAGTGAAAAAAAACAACTAAATTCAGTTGAGCTGAAAAGAATGACACCAAACAAGGCAACGGGGGAAATAAAATAAAACAATTTGAGGGTGAAATACAAACGTAAACTCAAAAGGAGTCAAACATGGCCGGTTGTATTTCAGACCTCAGTGGGTTCATCCAACAAATCATGAAAAATTAGGTTTAAATTTTTGTTCATGACGGTTTAAGCTGTAACAATGTGATTGTTTTCTAACAAAAAACAGTGAAACTTAAGTTAGACCTGTGTTTGTAAAGCAACCGCCCCATGTTGTGTAGCTTTCTGGATTTTATACTTATTGGGCTACATATGTATTTATTATACAGGCTGTACAGTACATACAATCAAAACTCACTTGTTTTATGTAACTAAAGTGTTTAATTATGTGGGCTACAGACAATAATTGAGTTACAGACTATATTTATATGAAAAACGTGTGTACTTACTTCATTTGACTCATTTTAACCATATGTAACCACCTGCGTATGTGTTTGACAAAAAGAAGACTTTGATTTTGCCACCCCATTTGATTTCTATGCCACCCTAAGAAAATTTCTCTAGATCCACCCCTGTAACCAGCTAACACTTATAATTAGAGGCCTCGTGAGTCATTATTATTATTGTATATTAAATGAGAGAAACTACATTTCTCAAAGAGAACACTATGATTTGTTGTTATGAGTATTAGGAGGTAATTAACATTGATTTGTACCATTACAATAATCCAGCTGGAGTTTCATCATTTTGGATTTTAATCAATGATTAATTTTATTATTTTCTGTTTTTAATTTGTTGGATTTTTTTATTGCTCTGTTGTGAAAGCTCAAGTTATTAGTTGTATTCAATGAACTCTGTAAAGTTTGTCTTACAAAACAGTTTGGTGTGAAAAATAAAGAAATGGTTTCATAGGTAATTATTTGAGCCACGATTTCCCTTCCTGTATTTCAGAGTAAAGCCTGAGGTGACAAATGAAAAATTATTTACAGTCAGAGTCAGATGAACCTTTTTCAAATGGAGGTTTATCAGAGGAGGAGACTTGGCTGTTTTCTTTTCCCTCACAAATAAACGGAAAAACAAATAAAATGCCAGCACAGATTAGTTTTTAGTTTACCATATTTAGAATGAGTCCGAGGTATATGTAAATGTATATTTATTACCGCTAATCATTTTAAAGCTCAGTTTATAGGGCTGTCAAAATTGAGAGCAAACCAAATAACTGCTGTGTAATGCACTCCGCTACCTTAGTTTAATTGGTCACATGACTAAAATACATAATGGATTTTCCCATGTAGCAGTATATTAATGACTAACCTCGTATTGTGGATGGATTATCTCTGTGGTCAAAGGAGCTTGCAAAGAAAAGCGTCTTGACTTCTTTGAGTTGCTTGAAGACGTTTCACCCCTCATCTGAGAAGCTTCTTCAGTTCTAAGGTCAAATGGTGGAGAGTCCCAGATATAAAACTAGTGGGAGTTTCCCCCCACAGAGGGACAAAAGGACCCCTGATGATCCTCTAATCGCCTGAGCCAAGGTGTGAAACTGGGTGTGGGTCCCAATCAGCCAGAGTTTCGGGTGAGCTCATTGTGAAACCTGGCCCCACCTTATCATGCGAATTCCTGAGATCAGATGACTACAATGACCTGGATGACTGAGAACCTTCACAGACAGATTATATCTGTGGTTCTCCTGACTGACGTTTTGTCCATTTACAGTATCC